CTTTGTCATTATTGAAAGTTATAGTCTAATTCCCCTCTCTTTACCTTTTATTATTTCAGTCTCTCCCAACCTTATATTGTTAGGGTGAATCAAAGTGAAAACTCACTTATCAATTCACCGTAACAGTATAAGATAAATTAATATTACTTTAAGCTAAAGATATCAAAATTTTTCTTAATATTTTAGTTTTACTAGTATCTATAATAAAACAAATAAGAATAGTACTAGACTCTTCACTTAAAAAATCTGGAAAAGTATCTAGAGTATTCTTCATTTTTTTTATATTAATATTTTTTTCATATAATTTAGAATACTGATGTGGAGTTAATAAAGTCTTGGATAATCTTTCATATAATTTCTACTTCTTGAACTTTTCTTTTGATTCTACTTTATCTGATATCTTATTGAAGCTAAGACTCTTGTGATCTGACTTATACTGTTTTTGCTGATAGTACTTGAGTATAAAATGATCATTTTATCAAATAAATCTATAGAGTTGGTCCTTATCATGTTTAACATCACATATAGGATATTCTTTAATAGATTATGCTTGAAAATTAATAAAATCATTTCCAATTTTTCCAATCTGAAGTCACCTATATTTTTTAACAACTAGATTAGCTCCTCTACTCAAAGTATTTTCATCATTAATAGACTGAGATTCTTGTTTTACTAGCTCTTTAGAAGAAAAGATTCATGATTAGATTATGAAATAATTCTCTTTAGGCTAAACCAGATAATTATCTAGATTATTAAATCTATTTTTAACTGAAGAAATAGCAGATCTATTTATATGATCTTTCTTTACTGATTTAAGAAGCCAAAAACTAAAATGGAATTTGAGAAGACCAACATTAATGAACTTTAAATAAGATTTTCCAACTAATTTGATAACTTTTTCTGTAAATCTCTTAAGTTCTTTATAATCTATAAATTGGACATAAGAATAAATAATATATCAACTACATTTCTTAGCATTTGATAAATTAGCTAAGACAAAAGAATTTAAAAAAGATATATAATTGAGAATAAGACTTAATGCATCTGTACAAGTAATTAAAATTCGAGATAATAAATCTTCTCATATAATTTTTTTATTATCTAAGAAAGGTACTTTAGGATTTGTAAGATCAGGCTTTTGTTTTGCATCAATCTCAATAATTAAGCATAGGAGTTAATTACTATTAATATATTCATGAGTATCAGGTATTCTATAAATTTCAATAGGATGATTGATCACTATATAATCTTTTTCTGCCATCCAAATTATATTAAGAATAAATCTCTTCAGGTTAATATATATCTAAAAGTACTATATCATTTTTATTAATATGATTATTGGATGCAAGCCAGTATTTATAAAATATATATTCTTTATGATTGGATTTATAATCAAGATCTATTAAATCTATAAAAAGTCTTTTTGTTTCATTATATTTGGCTGACTTTTAATTTAAGCACTATTACTATAACAAGTCATGAAGATATTTTTTTGCTTTACTAGACAAACTCATTTTATTAATTATATATATATTATTTGTATATGTATATTATTTGATCTGACAAAAAGTATATAATATGTTAATTTATCAACTTATAATAAAAGTGATATAAAAAGTTTAATTCAAAAAATAATTATTTCATATAAGCAAAAATTTGAAAGTTATTATTATTAGTGATGGTATTCTATTCTTGCTCACATATTTATATTGATAATTGAATTTATGAAAAAGGTGTTACCAACAAGAGAATTATGCTCTTTATTAGAAAATGTGATTATATAATTCTTGTAAAGAGTATGATATATCAACTATTTCTATATATGATATATATATTAAATATGCTGGAAAATATTACAACAAATCAAACTATCATAAAAAAAGGCAGATCAAATTACTTAAAAAAATATAATTATGAAAATGAATTAGGTGAAATATCTTAATATATTATTATATATTATTTTTCTGACTTTAAGTATATATGTGAGAAGACAGGATTGTAATGAGCTAAATAGGTCTAAATATAATGTATACAATAAATATGTAGGCAAATATAAAAGTAAAGAGAATTATCACAAAAAAAAGCAGGATGAATTACATATAAAAATTGCTATGTTTGATAATCATATACCTGACTTACCTGATTCTAGACATGAACTATAATCATATACTTGATATATACTAATTATTTTTTTTAGAACCTCTTTAAGTAATACTATATCCTTTTTAATTTTATTAATATTTTTAGTAATTTTATTATGTAGAATTATGAATTCCAAGACTTTTGATTAAACTTGTGTCTTATTCATATCTATTTTCTGATAAAATTATTCTAATAGCAATCTATTCAATTTTCAAATATATATATTAACTTATAATAATTAATTTTGATTTGAAAAAATATTTTCTATAGTGTATATAATCTAAAGAATTATTCATAAACTACTTGACCTACTATAACATTAGATCATGTTAGCTATCATAACTAAAATCATTGAAAAATATAATCTCAGCCCCAAGCTAAGTATATCTGATCTTAATTAATATACCTCTGAGTTTCTCAAAAACCTTACTAATAATAAAAAGCAGAATCAAGCTTGATAATATCTTCAGAATAATTTTAAATTTAGCAATAAGTAGGTAAGTATATTGATATCTAATCAGAGAAGTGAGAAAAATAAAATTATAAATTTGGTTAAAGATAATTATAGAATAGCTATAATTAAGCTTCCAAAAAGTTTGGAAAAAGAGATCATTAGAGAGAAAGCAAAATGAATCTTACAGAATAAATATGAATTTAGTAAGGATTAAGTGAATGTCTTATTCACAATCCAGATAAATGAACAATATAGAAGTACTTCTGATAAAATCTTAAATATTGCAATTTTCAATAATCTCAAAAAAGAATGAAGAAAGAAATAATCAGAGAGATAGCATGTCAGCTTTTATGGGATAAGCTTAGTATTAGAGATATAAGAGCTGAAGCTTATATCTTAGTCCTATCAGCAAAAAATGCTAATGCTGGCTCATCACATCTCACTCATCTTTATAGAGAATTAAGAAGGAACCTTAATGTATCACTTGAGATAATTAAGATTATAAAATTTCCAGATATTACAGAAGATGTCAACAAAATTCAGAATGTCAATCAGAAAAAAGCTAAAGTTAAATGTATCAATTATCTAGATAAATTTACATTAGAATTAGTCAAAGAAAGATTAGATGTGTATAATATTAAAACTTTATCTGATTATCAGGCTCTTGCTGATATTATGATAATGCTTTGTATTTATCCTGCTAAACTTAAAACTTTACATATTATAGATGCTGAAGTGATGGAATATGCAAAAAATCAAGGTCAGCCAGATATTTCTAGAAAATTTAGATTTATGAAAAAGAATCAAGAATGAGTCAAAGAACTACTCACTTGGATTCAGCATGCTATATCATCTAGACAAATGGATGATTCAGGTAAGCCAGGAGTTAAATGGTTTAATAAATTCTTAAAAGATTATGATTTAATTTCTAAATATTTATAAAAAATAGGTGCTATTTATGCTGTAGTGACGAATGAAGTGAAAAATATGGCCCATGCTTATACAATTGCTGGGGAAGCACTTTGGCATTCTTGTGACAATCATACTTCTCCAGTACAAAACTACATTGTAATAAATTATTGCAGGAGAGGTCAAGATCCAGATCAAGCAAGACCGTTTCAAATCTACGATACAGATTAATAAATTAGTAATTAAACAAATCAATCTTTATTGTGTATTGTTCATATACATATTCCCAACAATATCCTTCAGCTTGAGATCTAATACCTTGACATACTGCCATAATATTTTGACTTTTAATTCCAGTTGCACGCTCTGCCTCTTTTAATGAAAGAAATTCTTGAGTAAATGCATTATCAAAAATTTGCTTAACTGCACGTTTATAACCATTCCAAAGTCTGAGATGTACAGCATGTTGCATATTTTCTTTTTGTGTACACCATTCAAGATTCGAAGCTTTATTATTAGTAGAATTTCCATCTATATGATTTACATAATTTTTACCTTGTTCTTTCAGACAAAAAGCTACTGCTACTAAACGATGAACTTGATAATTTAGATATTTTCTACCAACCCGAAAATATCCAGCACTTAATGATCCTTGTGTGATCATACCATTTAATAACTTGACTCTTCCTAAAGAGGATACTTGAAATTTCTGCGAATTAAATTCTATTTCTCTCCATTCTTCATTAGAATCAGATTATATATAATCATCATAATACATCCAACACCACCCACCAACAAAATTCCGCTTTTCTCTACAACATGTGGCAATATTTCTACTACTAATATTAAGTGTAATACCTGCGAGTTTTGCCGAATCCCAAATCTGAATAATATCTTCATTTAATGTTTTTTGCACAACTTTTCGAGATCTTCCACGACTAGCAGGATTGGGAAATATTTTGCGATTGGCATTCTCTTTGGGAGTCACCCACTCTAAATTATCTACTTGATTATCAGTCTTAATTCCATTAATATGATTAACAAAAGATCGTTTTTCTGGGTTAGGAATAAATGTTTGCGCAACTAGTCTATGGGTATAAGGTTTGGTACTAACTCCGTTGATATTAATATTTGATCGTATATAACCATGTCCTTTCAAAACACTTTCTTCTGAAATTCTACCATTTTTATTTTTGACACGCCCAAGATTAGAAATAAAGTAATCCGAATTTGCTATAGGTAACCAAACCTCCATTTCAATGTTTACTGTATCCCATTATTTTATTTTCAAATTCAGATTACGCTTCATGGAATCATTACCTATATCGGAAAAAGGACAGACTCCAGAGCAAGCAAGACCATTCCAATTTTATGATGAGGATTGATTACTAATCACGCTTCTTTGCTTTCACCACTTTCACAGTAAAATCTTTATCATCATTAGACAATTCAAACTCAGACCCAGATTCAGATGTGGATGAGGACTCAGATGCGGTATCGTTAAAAATTGGTTTTTTTCTAGCTTTGCATGGAATATGTTGCCGAGAAATATCCGGATTTGCTATCGCGTTTATAATATTTTGCTAAATCTCGGGTTTCACTATCTCCAGTAATTGGCGGAGAGAAATCCAGATTTTTTTATCTGATACTTGCCTAACAATATTGGAAACTATAGTATTATTCATATCATCTATTTTCAAACCCATCTCCTTTGCTTTTCCACAGGTGATAACCGGACATTATCCACCTGAATCGAGTATACTTTCTATATCTTTGCCATTGATATTAACCACATGTGATTTTAATTGCCTTTGCGTAAGGTTGGTCAATTCTTCATCATAGTCGATTTCAATAGCGGGGCTAGTGCCTTGGTACATATTTTTTGATCTATCTCTGCTATTGTTATTATCCTCAGTCATTGTAAATGTTAAATTATTATTAATACGAAGTAAAAAATACATTATATATATATATTTACGAAAATAAACAATGCGAGAATCATATCTGAGCTCTCCAGTTTCAGAACCTGAAAAAACTAAAGATATTCCACCGCCTATACAACTCGATAAGTCTGTGGGTGGGTACTTCAAACGAATAAAATTATCACTGGAGTTAGGTGTGGATGATGAAAAGATTAAAGAAAATTTTATCAATGATTTATCACCGGATAATCAAATAAATGCGATCCGATTTGGGATTAAGGAGCCTATAAATAATATAAGTGAGCATTTAAAATTTATCTCAACCGGGCCTACCGATATTCAAAAATTCCGATTTGGGGAATTGGATCAAGGAAATGAATCAGTAATGAAGTATTTTGCAAAAGTAGAAAAATGTGGTAAATTAACTGGATACAATGAAGAACAGCTTAGATATTTCTTTCTTCGTGGATTATCAAGATTCTTTGGACCTCCGCTGTAAAGTTTTCGTCGCGTGAGGTAAGTTCAGCGTTAAATTTGGACGGTAATCAGCAAGTTCGGTGGTGAGTCGGGCATCATGATTGGCAAGAATTTCATTAAACATGGTATCACATGTAGAAACGTCGTCGGAATTATGCTTGGTGTTGATGTCTTGCTTAGTGGTACGTGAAAAATACAACGTGGCACCGACAAGTACACTCACTGGACAAAAGTTTGGAATCGGGAAATGATCGGCAATGTAGGTCACGAATTTTGATATGACTTTTAATTAATATTTCTCAACT